ATCAAACAGTTTTGTCATGCAATGAAGAAATCAGCTGTTTGGAGTGTCTTTGTTCAGTTTTAACTCTCCAACAACCTTAGATTTTATAATTGTGGATAAATGTTCTAGATTAGGAAATATAGGAGCTCTTTTATCGTGTCCTCTTCATCATGTTTGTAATCAATATTTTGGAACACATGCAGAAAATGTCTCAAATTTTAAAGGTTCATTTTACAAATGAATCTTAATTATTTGTAAGATGGAGAGAAGGGTTATGCTTTATGATTTCCTTGTGACGTCAAAGGTTTTTGTTTCATGGGATTTGGCAAAGAAAGTCTAAAAAATGTGCATTTAGGAAACATTATTTACCTCTCACTCACTGCAGTCAGGCTAAATTTTAATAACATTTTTAGTCAACAATAAAGCAATTAAAAATAAATATGCATGTGGTTCATCATCTAGATTGATTGAATCTGTGATAGGGATCCTACACATGCAAACCTGCCCTCCCTTCAGCCTCCTATAAAAAGGCTTCATTTCAGAGCTGAGTTTAGAGGATGTCTGTTAAATCAGCCAACATGTTTCGTGCTGCTCTGTTCCTGTTACTAGCAGCTGCAGGTGAGTTTCTTCAATCAGTGAGATCTCTGTCAACCATAAGTCTCAACAAACAAGATTTTCCTCATTTTTTCTGACTTTGTCAATAGCAGATGTGAAGTGTGAACAGCTGACCCAGCCAGCCTCTTTGACTCTGCAGCCAGGTCAACCTCTGACCATCAGCTGTCAGGTCTCTTATGATGTTACCAGCTACTGGACAGCTTGGATCAGACAGCCTGCAGGGAAAGGACTGGAGTGGATTGGAGATGCAAAAGGATCTTCAACAGATTACAAAGATTCTCTCAGAAACAAGTTCAGCATTTCCACAGACTCCTCCAGTAAAACAGTGACTCTGAAGGGACAGAATTTGCAACTGGAAGATGCTGCTGTGTATTTCTGTGCTAGACTCCACAGTGAAGCAAAACATGAACAGACCTGTACAAAAACCCATTCAGTACCTGAACACTTGAAATACTGTAAGCCTCCAGAGGAGGCACCATCAGACCATAAATTATTTGCCAGCAATTTATTCCACACTTAAACCAGTTTTCTATGTCTGTGGTCATAGTAGCCTGGAGAGGATCGATACATGTGCAGGAAGGAATGTGAACTTCCTGAAAAAAAGTCAACCTCAACCAAAACCTTTTTGGAAGAAACCACCAACAGTTCTGTTTTATACAATCTACTGTAGCATCGAGAGGTTGTGCATAGACATTTTAAATAATCCACATGAGAAAATATTTGTCATTCATGTATAACAAGCTTAAAATCAGTAAAAGCTCAATCTGCAGATGTACATTGTGAGGACCAGATTTTCTGCATTTTTTTAGGGTCACTGGTGACCTATTTTCATTCATATCTGGACAGGATATGTAGGGCCACAGTGTGAAGGGCAAAACATGCAGTAAAAGGCCCAGGCCCAAAAATCAATCATCTTCATCACACGCTGTTCCTGCTCTACCACTGAGCCATGCGGCGCCCCTTTTTTAAGCATTGCACAAGGTAGTTCAACATGTTGGTTCAAGAAATTAGCTAAACATGTTAATATAAAACTTATACAGTTCAGAAGGAAAAAATCAAATGCTTTAAATCTATCTTTTACACATTTTTTAGCTATTTTAAAGGCGTGTTTATTTAAAAACTGTTGTTATACAGGATTATTTTGAATTTAGCCTGATAAAGCAAACTATAGAAGAACAAATGATGTTTGGTTTTTATGGATATTAAACAATTTGAAATTAAAATTAAATTGTGTTCCTTTAATATTTTTAACTAAATCACTACATTTGAAGAAATTCTTTTAATCCTGCCAGGCTTTGGTGCTTAAATAAATGAGGACATTTTCCTAAAAACCACAACTGTTGCAACCGTCTCCTGTCTTTCAGTTTCCTCCTCCCCTCTCTGCTGTAAGTTTTTGTATCAGGGTTTCTCACAGTGATATTTGGGGGCACAGAGATATACACCAATACAAAAACCTCAGAGCAAAATCCTGACTGTAATTCATAATAATGACTATAAATAAGTATAAATTACTGCTTTTCTGCCTCTGTAATATGAGGTAAGAACTCAGTGTTGCCATTTTGATAAAATGACTGATATTTTTTTTCAAATACACATTAATTAGACTTTAATTCATAGACTATGAGTTATATTTTTTAGTCTATTTTAATTGCATCAGATAACTGATACTTAGCTTCTTTCAGAATTGTTACACAAGAACATCTATCTAATAAGACTGGGCCAATGTTGAAACACTTTTAGGTAATTATTCAGTTTTTTTTTGCCATTTTTTCTGGTGCTGCAGGTTTTTGTTCAACCAGTCAATGAAGATGTAGCACTGTGAGATTTAGACTACTGGGGTAATGGAACCACAGTCACGGTTCTACCAGGTAAGATCCTTTAAAACATTATTTAAAGTTATCGTTGTTGTTTATGATAATAATACTCATGTAAAATTTTAACTTAGTCTTAACTTTTGATGCTCCTGTTAATTGACAGTCATGTTAAACGGCTTTGGTGTTATCTGAATAAATTCCATTTGTAGATTTACTATTTTAGTTTTGCAGACAAATTTTATAAATTTTATAAATTTGTCTGCAAAACTGAAAAACTGGTTTGAAACTATGTTTCAAACCAGATTATGAAGAATTGCACTAATATAACAAACTGTCAGAAAAAAATCTACCCTAAATAATCATATCGTATTTGTATTTTAATCGGATTCAAATGCAGTTTTGAAATGTCAATGAAAAATAAATAATAAATGTTCATAATTTTTTGAATTATGAATGGATTATATGACTCTTAGTGCTTTTGCAGTTAAAATTAGTTATTTATTTATTTTCAATGTCAATAAATAAACTCTTATTTAATATAGTCTCCAGTAAAATTGTTTTTGTTTTTGATTGAATGTTAAATAATCTTAAAGTTTTCATTATTATGAGTTTAAAAGCGTCCAGAGGTTGTTCCCTACTACTGGATCATTTTTCATATTTTTATTTGGGTTCTGTTATCCAGATCAACAAATGTAATCTGTTGAAAAAAATGGATTATAAAAATGTAATTTACCAGAAAATATGAGACTGAAGATTGATTTAGAATCTGAACAAAGCTGGTTCAAACTTCAGAGGAATAGGGAATATGGCAGCGATTCATCCGATATAAATGCTCTGCATTTGAAATCCAGACAGAAGAAAATACAACATGAAGGCAAAAAAAAAAAAAAAAAAAATTGCACACAAATCTAACTTCTTCTCAACTAAATTACATTTTGACAAATGACTAAAGACACAATTTTGATTTGCAAAGCAGCAGCATAGTGGCAATTTAGATGCACAAGAAGAACTAAAAATAATTTATGGTCAGGCAACTTATGATGACCAAAACAAAAATATGGCTATAAAAATCTCTAACAATTGAGAGATTCTCTTAATTAAGGATAGATCAAAAATCTGATGGAGATAAAACCTTGACTTAAACAAAAAAGTGAAAAACAAGAGGACTATATGGACTAAATATAAGGTAAATAAATTACTCAAATGATTGAGTCTTTTAATCCCCATAAAACATCTAAGTGACTGATTATCATTTATTGTGGATATATGCAGAATATATTTTTTTGACTAACTATATAATACTCAAACAAGAAGCTAAATCGGGAGCCTGATCTATCAGAGGTCTGTAAGGTCAGAGTTACATTTTGTTACATTGAGGAAGAAGCTTTAGGCAAATTAAATTTGTTTCACTGTCATATATTCTCTAATTTTATCACAATAAAATTGACATTTGATGATAAATCTGTGATGATGATGTTATTTAATTCATTGAAGAGTTTTATGCAAATATTTTTTGGTGGTGATTTTGACACATCATTACTTTTCCTTTAACACTTGTGATAAAATTAACTCTAAAATTTTAGTCTTTATTGATTGCAAACATTGGGGCACAGTGACTGATATTCTTTCTGTTCACACACTTTCGTTTAAGCAGAAAAGCTTTTTTATTATCGTTTTTTCTTAACCAAACTAATATAATGGTTTGATGGAAAAGGAGCTGGCTTCATAGTTATTTAAATGTAAAAGTCTGACACTGATTAATTTTCCACAAATCAAACCGGTAAAAACTGGAGAGACGTCACTCGTTAATTTTTAACTCAGGACGTAGAAGATGGAGATTTCTGGATGTAAAATGGCTGCAGCCTTAAAGTTTGAAATGTCACATATCTTACTTTATTTTTTATACATACCAAACTGATGATGGAAACTTTCCATCGCAATAAAATACTTATTTCTCTTGGAAAGTTATACATTTAAACAACTAACTGATACTTTGGCAAAATTTCCCTTTTTTCGCAAAGTTGCTGCTGCAGAAACATTAGATTTTTAACTTAATATTACATGTTTTAAAGGATTTGGGGGAAAAAAAATATCACAGAACATTATAAGGAGTAATTGATTGCAATATTCAACCTTTTAAAAATACTTTTTTATGACTTATTACTTTTGAATCAGCTTCTTGTTACAGTTAAAGAGTTACAGTTGTTTAAACTGTAGTTTATGCATTGACATGAAGTAGTTAGTCTTGTGCTGATGAAATGTTGTTCCAGTCATTCTTGAGGTCCTGATATGATCTGCTTTTCTTTGTTCATCTGCAGATCCAAATGCTGCCTCTGATCCTCCGTCCCTGTTCGTCCTCAGTCCCCTGCAGACTCCCGGCTACACAGTGAAGCCAGCAAACCAGTCCAGTCCAAACGTCTGTCTGGTCACAAATTTCCATTCAAAGTGGGAAAGTGTGGTTCTGAATTTGAAAAGGGGTCCGGTTGATGTGATCACGACTAATGCTGTTGTGAAGAATAACTCCTACTACTTTGCTGCATTCAGCAACGAAGCCATCTACTCCTGTGGGGTAAACGGGACCTTTGGCAACAATGAAGCTGGTACCAAATTTATAAAGTATAAAGAGTCATGATCTAACTATTTGATTTTACAGACAATGAAACTTTCGGTAAATTCTTTTTATGACTTAAAATCTCTCATCAGCAATGCACCTCCCATCTTCAACTAAGCTCCAGTAGTTAATTTGTTACAAAACGTTCTTATGAGAGTGTTTACTGACTTTTTATGTGTCAGAGTTTTCATGATGTTTGTGTGACTGATGTTCTTTCTGTGTCCAAACAGATGATGAATGTGGCAGCATTTATCCAGGTCAGTCTGATCTCTTCCTGTCTCAGTTTGGTTCCATCGCTGCTGTCAGCTGTTTGTGTTCAAGTCTGAACTCTGTTTCTCTGTCGTCCAGAAAAAGCCAAGCTGAACTTCTACCTGCTGCTGATGAACGGAGTCCGAGTGGTGTTCACCAAAGCTCTGGCCTTCAGCACCGTCCTCACCATCAGAGGCCTGATCTTCTGAAACTGAGGCTTCAGCTCATGAATATCAAATTGAAATCCATTTTATAAAAAAAAAAAAAAATATGTGTGATTAAATGGCTCTGAAATAATAAAATTGGCAAATATACACCGAAAAAAACAACAACAAAAAAACATCTTTAATTTATGGTAAAATACCCGCAACTCTGGTTGCCAAATATGGATTATACCATATTTAAAATTATGGGAACCACCGCTGCCAGTATTTTACCATAAATTAGAGATTTTTTTGTTTGCTATAGTGGAAAATGAAATGTATTAACATTTCCTTTGATGTTTTTTTTTATTATTATTATTTCTAGTGTTTCTGTTAATTTTATGTGAAGTTGTTTCTTGTCTTTTATGGTTTTTCTATATTTCTGTATCTTTGTTTTGAAGAGGGATTTATATGTACAGTGGATTTAGAGTTTTTTCCTTTATTTTTAAAGAATTGGCTGTAAAAATTGAAATACACTTTAATGTATGTGAAAATGTAGTTTTACATGTAGGTTTAATAATAAACCTATAGACATGAAAATAAAGCAGAATATCTAAAAGAAACAAAACAAATATTTGTTTTTTTTCTCTTAACCATAAGTTCAGGAATAACATGGACAACTTTGCTAAAAAAAAAAAAAAGAGAAAAGAATAACTTATCATTCCAGAAAAGATGGAATTTGTGATCTGTTACTTAATTATTTTTTCTTCAATTTAGTCAAATGTCCTGTATTTTTTGTGGTTAGTCTTTGTTTGACATGATAACTAAGAAATTGTTTTTGGTGTTCCTGCTTCATTCTGTTCATGTTAATTTTTCATTTATTTGCAAGATGTACAAATAAACTTTAATGCAGCCTATTTAATATGTTCCAGCTCTGCTACTTTATTTATCAAACATCTTCTATTATTAACTTGTCATTAATTCTTTTTTTATTGTATTAATGTTTTCCTTTATCATTCAAAGCCATTTTATCTGCCTTTTTCCACTCACATTTGAATTATTTTCTTACTGATTATGTGATAAACCACCTCCACTCTCAGCCACTTGCTCAGGTTATTTCCAGTAATCTATTGGTGAATAACCGAAATAACGAAGAGAAACAACAGTAAGAAATATACCTCATTTCTCATCTCCTTCTTAGCGCAAAAGTTTGATCGTTTAAAACCACACGTCACCAGGAAGCAGAAATACAGATGAAAATCTGAAAGAAACCAAACAGCAGCTCAGTTTCACATGGAGACGGAAAGGCTGAGGTTAACCTCAGCGCCGCTTGTTTCTTCTCTTCACACAACATGTTGAATCTTTTCACATGTTGACTTCAGTGGCAGCAGTGTTCCTTTGTAATTTGGCATTTAGACAAATATTTTTAATTTTCACGTCAGATTTTAAATCTTCTGAAATCCTCCATTCAGAGTTTTTTTATATATATACTGCTCCAAAAAATAAAGGGAACATTTCACTTTAATTTTGTGTGTGGCTCCAAATCCAGGCCTCCATTGGTTAATAAATTTGATTTCCATTGATGATTTTTGTGTGTTTTTGTTGTCAGCACATTCAACTTTGTACAGAACAAAGTATTCAATGAGAATATTTCACTCATTCAGATCTAGGATGTGTTATTTGAGTGTTGCCTTTATTTTTTTGAGCAGTGTATATTATTATATAGGAGGTTTGTTCTGTATTCTGTCTAAGAGGTGAGTTACAAAGTTTCCAAGGAATGCTTGTTTTTTTTGTTGTTTTTTTTCTTCTTGGAAATCATGGACGACACAATCAAATTTAAAAACACGACAAGAGAACTTTGTAAGGAAGTTTCGATCAAAATGAATATGTGACCTGAGCAGCAGCTTTTAAAGTATATGTGTTCAGATTAAAAAAAAAAAAAGATGAACAGGAATCATCTGTTTGAAGTATGATCTGACAGAAAATAAAGGTAGATCCTCCTCATGTCATGCAGATCTCAGGTAAAATCAGTTTTAAATAAGAAACAGCATTGGTTCTTCCAAAAACAATTTTAGAAATGCTGTCACCTAGTGGACAAACTTGACAAGCCACTAATGCAAGGTGAAACTTGCTACCTTGCATTAGCTGTAAAGATCAGGGGTTTTAAAGTCAGATTTATACAATTTAAATTAATTTTCAATCCAAAGTGTTGAGTTGTCAGTTATTATTTTTGTTAAATTGTTTAACTATTTGCTGTCTTTCTTAGCAAAAATCAGAGTCTGTGTTTTTACCAATGCTCGAGAGTTATGGCTCACTTTTCTTTTCAGACACTTGGATCAGGCAGTGGGTAGAATCACACATGAATGCTTAGTGACTGACATTTAGACCTTTGGTTGCCCTTTGCGTTAACATTTTCAAAGAAACCAAAAGCTGTTAGATATGAACTTGACCCAATTTTTTGTTGATTGTAACTGTATAAGAAAAGGTACTTTCACCACTAACAGAACCATTTTGTTCAATCTAGTCTGGAAAAAAAAAGCGAGAATTCATTTTCTCAGCCAAAACTCTCTCTTTATCTCTGATTGGACAGTTAAACTTTCTTGTATCTCTTTCTATGCAAACTAAACCTCCAAGCTGTTGGCTATAAAAAAGCGAAACGAAAAAAAACTCCCACCAGATCATGAACATGTTGTCTGTAGCTCTGCTGCTCCTGTTGGCTGCTGAGTCCTGTAAGTCTCACAGAGACAGAAACACACAGCATGTTCTCAACACCATGTTTGTTTAACACTCTGAAAAGGTAATTCTCTCTACAGGTGTGAAATGTCAGCAGCTGACCCAGCCAGCCTCTGTAACTGTGCAGCCAGGTCAATATCTGACCATCAGCTGTCAGGTCTCTTATTCTCTCAGCAGTGACTGGACAGTCTGGATCAGGCAGCCTGCTGGGAAAGGACTGGAGTGGATTGGAGGAGCAGGCGTAGGATATGCTACTTACTACAAAGAGTCACTAAAAAACAAATTCAGCATCAGTTTAGAGTCTTCCAGTAAAACAGTGACTCTGAATGGACAGAATATGCAGCCTGGAGACTCTGCTGTGTATTACTGTGCCAGAGAGACACAGTGACACAAACCAGCTGCCAACCTGAACACAAACCCCTCAAAGCCGACGCTTGTAAGTACTTTTGACCAGTGGAGAGACTCTAACAAAATATACATACACAAGACATCTACTTTCTTGTCTGGAGGTGACAAACTTTACATTTCCTTTTTAGGAGAGTTTTACAATAAGTTGTTTCGCTGTAAATCTCTTTTTTTTTTATTAATTAAAAAAAAAATTGCTCATAATCTAAAAAAAGAAATTGTCTCATAAAATGTAATTCCAATGCAGATGTCATATTTTTACGGAAATCTCTCAGTATATGATTATCTTCGATATTAGAGGGACGTCCTTTGGTCACACATTTATTTTAAAGATAAAAGTCAAAAGTATGCCCTGCTGATATTCATGTGTCTTCCTTTGAAGTCTTTCAAAACAGTGATACATCTCTTCCATTTTGAGTTTGTCTTAATCTCATTTTGCATTTATTTATCATAATTTCTGGGTCTTTGACAGGTTCTAACATCCTTAGTGCAATCTCCCATAATAGTAAAGGAAAAAGCCCCAGCATCTTCTTGATTTCAGTCAGTGTAAAATGCACTGGATTGGACAACCTGCACAAAAAGGATGGCAACAACAATGTGTTGATTTGGGATTTCCTGTTTTTGAGGATCTGGTGACATGATGTTCAACAGACGTAGGATATCATTTGTCTTTTCAACTCCAATTTATCAACCTTTTATTTGTAATTGTACCTGGTTTCAAAATGAAATGAATGGATCTAAATTTGTGCAAAGATAATGTAACACACACTACATGAGTCCTTCTGGAGTCTCTGCTAAAAGATACTCCAATGATACCATTCAAGTGTTCACCTCCTTTGAAGGGGAGGAGCCGATGCAAAACCTAACTCCTTTCATTTTTCTGTATCTGTTTAAAACCTGATAAAATCGGGAACAACCACAGTGTAGACTTAGCAGAGAAATAAGTGCAACAATGATCAGACTTGAGGTTGTGACTGCTTTTGTCATCCTGGCAGTTATCTGGCCTGGTAAGAACTCAGGGCAGCTTCTCAATTGATAAATCCAACCTTATTCATGTTCGGTAGCTAATTAACTGTCTTTCTGCAGGTACTGATGGACAAACACTGACTGAGTCTGAATCAGTGGTCAAAAGGCCGGCAGAGTCCCACAGACTGACCTGCACATATTCTGGGTTTAGTGGCACTCCTTGGTTTGTTTGGGTCAGACAGCCAGCTGGAAAAGGACTGGAGTGGGTTTCTGGTATCAGTGACAGTGGTGGCAGCACCTACTATCCTCAGTCATTGAGAGGTCGGGTCACCATCTCCAGAGACAACAGCAGAAGTCAGGTGTATCTGCAGATGAACAGCTTGTCAGCGGAGGACTCTGCTGTTTATTATTGCGCTCGATGGTCCACAGTGACACAGAAACCAGGAACTCTGTACAAAAACGATTCAGCACATGAAAGTTTTTAAGACAAACCCAACACAGAGGGAGCTACAACACCACATTTAGGTATTTGTTGAACCCAGTCTTTAATTGTTTCTTTTCTGCATATTCAGTCGAACATGTTTAGATAATTATGATGTTTTCTCTCTTTCTTTGCTTGGTTTTGCTACATTT